GTGTTACCATGGCAACACAAGGAACTACATATCACTTTAACCAAGTCTCATAGGAATGAATATTAAAAAGCTGAATATTGAGGCAATAACAGACTCCTGTTTTTGATCTTTTTGAACTATCTGTACTTAAACTAGAAACAAGTTCAATTTGATTGACCGTCAGAAGGTGGGAAAGTGCCCCGCTACCACCCAGCCCCCTGATTGGTTGAGAGAGGTCAGTCATCTTCTGGCTAAATGGAATTACACACCCACACATGTGAGACATCAAATCGATCGGCTAGGCCTAAAGAATCCATCCATCCATCCTACCACCCAACCAACCATCCATCCATCCATCCATCCAACCAACCAACCACCCAACCAACCAACCAACCAACCATCCATCCATCCATCCATCCATCCATCCATCCAATAAACCATCTAACATCCATCCAATAAACCATCTAACATCCATCCAACAATCCATCTGTTATTTCATTCATCCAACCATTCATCCATCCCATAGCAAATCTGAACATACTGTATGTTAATCTATCAGTTTCAGATATCAGCAAATATTTCTAAATTCACGGTTCAGCCAATTGTAAAAATGTACCCGTTAAACTATTCTCATTCAAATGCCAGCTGTTTAACATTTCAAATTTCGAGTTTTTAATAAATGTTCAAAGATTAAAGTTTTCTGCTGTTTAGCATTTTTTATCGATTCTTCACCTATATTCTGAGCTTTATTACACTTGGTGATTTTTGCTTCTAAATCTTTAAATACATTCAGCTCATTTTGACAGTTTAGCTTAGTTTCAGCTTCACTTCAGCTATGCAGCAGCTTCAGCAATCCGTTTCTGAATTCGGCTTATGCTACTCATTTCACAGTTCAACTAAATATAAAAATTAAACTGTTAAACTTGTCCTACTCAAACAACAAGTGTTTAGACATTTTTGCTGTCCAGGTTTTAAATAATGTTCAGATTTCAGTTTTCTGCTGTTTAGGATTGTTTTCTCCGTTCCTCACTTTTTGTGCTTTATTTACATTTTGGTGCTTTTTGCTTCTAAATCTTTCAAAACATTCAGCTCATTTTAACAGTTTAGCTTAGTTTCAGCTTCAGCAATTAGTTTCTGAATTCAGCATATGATGCTAATTTCACAGTTCAGCTAAATGTAAAGATTAAACTGTTAACCTTGTCCAACTGAAATAACAGGTGTTTAGACATTTTAGCTGTTCAGATTTTTATACAATGTTCACAGATTTCAGCTTTTTGCTATTTAGCATTATTTTTCTCTATTCTTCACTTACTTTTTGTGCTTCATTTGCTTGTTGGTGCTTTTGCTTCTACATCTTTTAAGATACTCAGCTCATTTTGACAGTTTTGCTTTGTTTCAGCTTCAGTTCAGCTGTTCAGCAGCTTCAGCTTACAGTTTCAGCTATCCAGCATTCAAACAGCATTTGTGCAATAAATACAATTTTTCTAGTTAAGTTATAATTTAGCATAATTTTCACTGTAGATGTTTGATGTTGGAAATTATTTCTTTCAGGTTTTATTATTTCTCAGAAAACTATTATTTTATTTTTCTACGAATTATTTGTTTTCACATTAAACTTTCCTCTGTTGTTTATTGCAGATTTATGATATAGTTGCATTACTATTAAGTTTCCTGATTCCTGGAAAACCCTGTTGAGAAATTAGCATCTGTTGACCCAGATAATGCCTTTGAGAGTAGTTTTAGTCAATGACATAACACAGACATCCAGGTGCAGACAAAATTAATAGGTCATTGTTTTTTGTCCTATTTAAACTGTGTTTTTGTGTAAAAGTGATCAATAGTTGCTATAGTGTTCATAGGTTTCTGAACAGCCTCTGTAAAAAAAACGTAGTTTGCATCCAGCAGGATTGATGCGCTAACAGCTAGTCCAAAGACAGACAAGATGAAAGTGCATTTTACAACATCTTGAAACAACTTAAATCTCTTTAAACTTCCGGTACAGGAAGTCGTGTCTGACTCCTCTGCTGAAAAACTCTGTGCGGCAGCAGTAGCTCAGGAGGTTGTCCAGTAATTTGAAGGTTTTAGGTTAGTTCCCAGCCCCACCAGAGAATGCAGCTGTTGTGTCTTTGGGCAAGAAACTTAATCCACCTTGCTTACCGGTGGTGGTCGGAGGGACCGGTGACACCTGTGTCAGTGTGCCCCAGGGCAGCTGTGACTAATTTGTCGCTCATCATCATCAGTTTATAAATGTGTGTGTGAATGGATGAATCATACACTGTTGTGTAATGCGCTTCAGGGTCCTCTAAAAGGCGCTATACAAGTGCGGGTCATTTATCATTCATCAAATGACCATGTAATGCTGAATTGCTGTAAAAAATTGGTAGATGCAGACTGATACTATCATTCATTCTGGGTCACAATGAGCTGGTGTCAGAGGTGGAAAGTAGCGAATTACATTTACTCACGTTACTGTAATTGAGTAGCTTTTTTGTATATTTATACTTTTTAAGTCGTTTTTAAAAGCTGTACTTTTACTTTTACTTGAGTACGTTTTTAAAAAAGAATTGTAATTCACTACATTTTAAATCATATCCGTTACTGAGTAAAAATAAATTGTAGGCTTAATAAATTAAAAATATTACGTGTAGCAGCATCGGAACAGGAAGAGACACCTGCATGAGCGCCACGTCTTAACCGTTGGGGGGTGTACACATTTGGTCAAAATCATCAGTTCAGTCCCTGTGATCCACTCGCTGTTCTTCACCTCCTCTCTCCCTCCTCTCCTGTGGGTTGGAACCTGCACATTCACGCACCGGTGTTATGTCATCAGAATTCTGCTCTGCAGCTGGACTCAGTTCCGTGTATTAAATGTGTTTCCCTACCTCTCCGCACGGCAGCGTCAAAATACTGTTTAGCACTAATAACAAGGAGATTCTCAGCACTTTACTCATAAAACAGAAGACCTGCAGGCCTCTGTGAGTTAAACATCCTGATACTGCTCAGGTGTAAACATTGGGCTCCATCCCTGTGTTTGAACTCAGAAGATGCTTCTTGATGCCACACATATGTGATGATTTAGATTGTTCTTTATTTTACTCCAGAATAAGAGATTAAATTATTACTAAAGCAGTTCAGTGTAGTTAAATTAGTCATTCAAATGATTCTAAAATGCTGCAGTGTGTGTGTGTGTGTGTGTGTGTGTGTGTGTGTGTGTGTGTGTGTGTGTGTGTGTGAGGAGACACCATTAGTTCTAGTAGCACCTGGGCTCCCAAGGCCTATTCTGATAGGATGGATGTTACGGGACCCTTAAGGATTCCAGTTGAATGATTGGAGGATTATTTAGGAGGATTGGAATGAACAAACTGATTTCAGTGGTGAAGGGTTAAATGAGTGAGTGGACCTACTACCAAGGATGAACTCTGCTAACTTTAAAAATCAGCTGCTCAAAATAAGCATGAAGGTCAGAGAGGAGCTCTAGGATGGACATAGATAAAGGAACTGTAATGTAGAGGTAAAGTAGGGCAGGGCCAACGTTAGCAGCTGTCATATGGTCCATTTGAAATGTTTGACTTTGTGCCAATTGCACACTCCCTCAATGCTTGCGGCATCTGTGGCGTTTTGCTGTGAGACAAAACTGCACATTCCAGGGTGGCCTTTTATTGTGGGCAGTCTAAGGTATACCTGTGCACTACTCATGATGTCAGATCAGCATCTTGATGTGGCACACCTGTGAGGTGGGATGGATTATCTCAGCAAAGCAAAGGTGCTCACTATCACACATTTAGACTGATTTGTGAACAATGTTTGAGAGAAATGGTGATATTGTGTGTCTGGAATGAATTTTAGATCTTTAAGTCCATCTCATGAAAAATGGGAGCAAAAACAAAAGTGTTGCGTTTATGTTTTTGTTCAGTGTAGGTAAAAGTATGTATGATTTGTGCTGATATCGTATCGGATTGGTATCGGTATTGGTCAATACTGAAGGCTGCAATATCGGTATCATATCAGAAGTCAAAAAGTTGTATTGGCACATGCCTAGTTGCCAGTGAGGAAAGGGAATCTGATGTTCTTGTTATTTTGCTGGAGGTTGTGCTCCCAGTTATGTTTGACCCTAATGGCCCTCCGTTGGTAAGGTAAATGATAAATGATAAATGACCCGCACTTGTCATGATCTGCCCCAGCCTCCCTGACTGTGTCGCTCCTGCCTTAATTAGTCCTATTGTTCTCACCTGCCCCTCGTTAATATGCCCATGTGTTCCTAATTCTCCCTGTGTATTTATACCTCCTGTCTTGTACCTGTCTTCGTTGGATCATTGAATGTGCATGTCCTCGTTTGTCCTGTCGCTCCCGGTTACTATTAAATTCATTTTTATTTCATCTGTGCCTGCTCTCCTGCCTCCTGGACCCTCCACCACACATGGTTTGCCATCTCCACCCTCACCACATGACAGCACTTGTATAGCGCCTCTCAGAATAAGGACTCCAAAGCGCTTTACACTACAGTGTATCATTCATTCATTCACACACTCATTCACACACTGGTGGTGATGAGCTATGATGTAGCCACAGCTGCCCTGGGGCGCACTGACAGAGGTAAGGTCTTACTTGAACACAAAAGTAATACTTGCTTGCAATCATTTAGGTATGTTCTGCCCCCTATTGCCAGGGAAACTACACAATGTCACTTTACACTGGTTGTTTGAAAATGTGTCTGTTTGTGATGTCACAAATGGGGAAAGCCCTGAAACGACTCATTCTGGAAAGTGCTGAAATGTAAAGAATACAACAGAATGAAACCTCTTTATGTGAGAGAGATTGTATGGAAAGAACTTCATAAACATGTTTTGTATTGACCATTAAGCTATTATAGCCTAAGAAAGCAAGCCATAAAATGTCCCTTTAATAAATACTCTTCAATCAATGTACTTTAGATTTTTTTTCTAGAAATTCCATTTGCTGTAACAACTTGTTTTTTATGATTTTGTAATTAAACATTTGACTGATGTATGTTTTTTGTCCAGGTGCTGTGGTTGATGAGTCTTCTGGAAAAGTTCTTGTTGTTCAGGACAAAAACAAGGTAGATCCACAACTCTGTTTAAACATTACTCATCTATTTAATGGAATAGTTCCTTTTCCTTATTTAAACATTTTAAGAGTTCTAAATTAGTTGCTGCAATGTTACAAGTTGTTTTTTGTTTTGTTGATGGATTCAGAGCACAAAAAGAAAAAAAGACAACATTCAAATACCACCATAAAACTGAAAGAACAACTGGTCAATAAAATATATTTGAATTAAATATGTTTACAAGGAAGCAGCAAACAACACAAAATTACACAAACATTGATTGGATTATCTTTATAACACATTTTGTTGACATAATAAACATGTTTTATGCATTAAATTTAATAGTATTTTAGAAATACATGGAGTGTATATAAATATGAGGAATTAAGATTCTTTGCTGCAGTAAAAGTAAAGGTCACCAGTTGTGGTCCTGGCACGGATCAGAGATCAGGTCACTGAGAGAAGTTTGGTGATTAGTTTTGTTTATTTAGTGGCTTGTTTACTTCTTGTGTTTGTCCAAGAGAAGGTGGACGGACCCTTTGAGCATCTTTAGCTCAGCTGAAGCAAACAGCCTGTTTATGTGACAGCAGCACACAGTCGACTCAGAGCTCCCACTGGGATCAGCTCCACTTACAACAACCCCTTTTAGTCACCTCTACACACCTTTGTGTGCACTTCCAGGCAGCACAGATGAGATATCAACCACGTTAGAGAAGTTATTTCAAAATGAAGTCAGCAGCATCTTTATTTAACTTTAAGCTGAGGTGGAAAATAATATTTAGTAACTTTACTGTATTGAAGAGATTTGCAGTATGGAGTGGATTTAGGGTCATGATCTAATGTCAGATAACATCCTCTTGTACCGCGTTACAATTCTGATTGATATCCTTATATGGAACAAAAACATCCAAACAAGTTTTAAAGTGCATTCTGCTGCTCAATGTTAAATTGAAATCACTTTGGACAAAAGCATCTGCTAAATACATAAACATAAACGGAGTCTGAAACTCCTCAGTAAATCTCTTGTTTATCTGCTGAAAATAGTAAAAGTAATCACTGATTGGAACAGAAACCAAGATTTTATGTATAAAAAGCTTAAAGTAAACTAAAAGCAAACTGTGTCTATTATGGTTGTCATTTTATTTTATTTAACCTTCATTCAACCAGGTGAGTCGAATGAGGACTCATTCTCATTTACAATGACGATCTGGCCAAGAGGCAGCAGCAACAGACACATAATTAGCTTTACACCAAAGATAAATGACTCTTACAAGCGGAGAGGGAATCATTGCGTATAGCTGAGTCAAGGTCAGAGACCCCAGAGACAGGTCAAGCTGTAGCAAAGGCATGACCAGACTTGATAAAGTAATTATTGAAATAATTTACCATTTTAGTTTTGTCTGAGACAACAATGCCCTCAGATTTGATTGCATTTGGCAAGTGTGAGGTCTAATTGGTATTTTCCATAGTTTTTAGTCTGCCAGAACTTTTTGGTGTCAGAACTACTCATCAGAAACTGGTTCTTACAATATTCTGATTTTGCTTTTCTGATTGATTGGGCACATTTATTCTTTATAGATCTGAAGGATTGCCAGTCACAGATATTCTTGGATATTCAAACTGTCTCGGCTCGGCACGCATATGATAGAGCTAGAACTAATCGGAGCAAACGATAAAGTGATGAATTCATCGCTACAGTAATCAGTAAAAATACACCGTTGAAGATGCATATAGATCCTTTTTTTTCTATATAAAGAACTTAAGTAGCTCTATCTGCTCATTTTACGAAGAACAGCTCAAGCCTAAATAGTCCAATGTTGATGCTGTATACGTTACAAATGTTAGACGTTACAAATAGTAGACCTGCTGAGGCTACATTGGACCATGGCTAGACTGACCCGTGGAGACAAATCTTCTGCTGCTATGGTTGATCTAGGTTTTTAGACTATTAATTGAGTGCAAGTCCGTACTTCAATCGCGTTGTTCAGGATAAAAAAAATAAAAAATAAATATAAAAATCCAGAATGCACAGTCATGCTTTATCTGTTTTCAGTAGAGAGATGTGTAATTACTCCAAAGTTATGTTGATTATGTTATGCTGTAATAAACATGGTTTATGTGCACATTTATAGGCCTTTTAATTGCACGCATCATTGAACTTGTATCATGGCTCGGAAGCATAAGAGCTGATTATTTATCTTTAAGGCTTTTGTCCAGATGTGGAGGGAAATGTTATTGGTCTGTAAGTGGCAGAACTGTTTATCTCTTCTTCCCTTCATCCCCACTGAGTATTTGACTTTATTTTTTTACCACCATCCTTTGAGTTTGTGCAAAGCCAAGGAAGTGTAACAGACTTCCTAAAACATCTAAACAAAAGTTCAGTCTCAAATCACTCAGTATAAACCCCTAACAGCTCTTTTTCGTCCATTTGTTGTCATGGTTATGAGTTTAATTTGAACATGATCATCTATTTATTTTTATTTGAATGAATGCTTAAAAACTCAGTCGGAAGAGACAGTGAAAAACCACAGCGATAAGTTTCATTCAATCTTTATTTGTTTCTATCAGCACATTAAGAAAAAACTGCCCACATTTAATGCTTGTTTTCTCAGCTTGTCATAAAAAAAAGCTGTAGTGCATTTGTGTTCCTCATAAAGACAAATCAAACTAACATTCAACATTTGTTTATTACCAAAAAATAAATGTACACACAGATTTGATCATTTAACAAGCAGCACGCTGTTACTAACATCAGTAAGTGATCACTTCACCAGGTTAAAATCTCAATCTGACACCTGAAAGTTCACATGAGACCTATGTATAATTATTAGCTCCAACGTGAGCTACAGAAGACTTATTGTTTGTGATTCATCCTCTGCATTAATGCTTGTGTAAATTGTGACTTTGGTTTTAAATTTCAGACAAAGAATGCCTGGAAGTTTCCAGGAGGTTTGTCTGATCCAGGAGAAAATATTGGTGAGTGTCACATCAGCAGAGAAGAAAACTAATACAGTACATCCGGCTAAGTCTTTTGAGTTCAATCGTGCATTTTAAACAGGTACATTCATCTGAACTGTACATAAGAAAGTATAATATACTTTATACACACTTTTGACCCTTTGTGCTCAAAAAGCAGCTGTAGAAGTATGTACATGATTCCACTCAGAAAGCAGCTTCAAACTTGTTTTTCCTACCCCCCACCCCCCACCACACACACACACACACACACACACACACACCTAAAAGTCAGTCTGTTAAAAAGTATAAATATATTTCTAATCATCCGTATTGGTTAATTTTTTCTCAGGAGCCACTGCCGTTCGTGAGGTGTTTGAAGAGACCGGCATTCGCTCCGAGTTCAGATCTCTACTCAGCATCCGGCAGCAGCACAACCACCCCGGAGCCTTCGGCATGTCGGACATGTACGTCATCTGCCGGCTGAGTCCACTCACATACGACATCAACTTCTGCATGCAGGAGTGTCTGCGCTGTGAGTGGCTGGATGTCAGCGAGCTTGCTAAAACCAGCAGCACCACGCCCATCACCTCCCGCATTGCCAGGCTGCTGCTGTACGGCCTGGAGCGGGGATTCGACAAGATCGACCTCACCATGGAGGAGATTCCTGCGGTTTACTCTGGGATGTTTTACCAGCTGTACTACAGACAGCTGCCCACTTAATCACAAAAACAGGTGAACATTTAAGAAACTTTTGGTAAAGACTGATACGTATGAAGTGCTATTGTTTAAAAATTGCTAAGGATCTTTGAAGATGCTCTACAGATTTTTGCATAAGGACTAAATCCAGCTAGTTAACTAATGGAAAATGTTACAACTAAGCTAAACAAACTTGGCTGGTATAAAATATCTATTATTATGGCAACTTAATAAGCCAACTGATTATAATTAGCCTACATTTATAAATTAAACTACCTCTTAATGCAAGTTTCATATTATACAAATAAAATACTCCTGTACATATAATTATGTCAGAACTGCTGCTTTGTTTTAATTAAGGTTTCAAAAAAACACTGGATAATCTAAAAAGCCTTTCAAAGTGCTGAAACTGACTTTTGCTTTAGTGTTTTAAAACATTTGGAGATTATTTTTAGGTCAGGGATTAAATTCTTGGAATAAAAACACCAACTATGTTAAATAAAAAAAAGACTAAAAAAACTATATTTTCAGTTAAACTGCTTATTAGGGAGCATTTCTTAACTAATCAGCCACAAACAGACAAATAAGGGGACTGCTCTGTGTTGTTGGTTATCTATGGCCAGCTGACTCAACATTAAGTCAAACACTATCTCAAATGTTCTGGGTTTAAAAAATAAACGGTTGTGAGTCACAGCTATTTTTAGGTGCAGCTGATGGAACAACATGGCCGTTGGCTTCACATCTTCTCCTTCATTGTTTCCATGAAGACATCAGGCTAATCCCTGGTTAGCACTTGGCAGACATTGGGAGGAAGAGAATGGCCTTCTGACCCGGTCCGGTTTTGCTCCCAGACTTGTACTGGCCGGTCCGATTCAGCGCCACATACATGTTTGGGTATTTTCTGGAGCGGTAGGTGTTGTAGTTGTTGCTTTCTAGGCGTTCTATGAATTTGCATTCCTCTGTGGCTCGTTTCTGGAGAGCAGGACACAGAACAATAAAGTTTTATTTAATGTGTAGCGGTTTTGTGTTTAGTACTGAAAAAAAAAAGCTACAGGGTGATGAAACAAATAGCCACATTGTGAAATCCCAGTGAAGTGAAGAAACTTGTAAAACAATACTTCATTGTGTCTCTAAGTTATGATGTTTACCATCTATTTTTCTGGTCCACGTGCATCTCTCCTGACCTTGCCCCTGAAGAAATGCCATTACTGAATGTCTGGCTAAATTCTGTCTTTGACAGGGCGTTCACACACCTGGCCAAGAAGACACTATTGTTTTCTGTTTGGTTAACTGCAAAGTCATAAAGCCTGTAGAAAAAAGATCCTTTCTTTGAGCTCTAACAGAGGTGACTCTTCTTTTTAATGCAGAAGTGATGCTACTAACAAACAATAACCATGTTTTGGCGGTGGGAAGTGTTTGTGTCAAAACTTTTCAGAAAAATTTCCTTCTGTTAAACCACAGATAAATTAAATAGGTGTGTCCCAGAACAGCAGTGGCTACATTATAGCTCATCACCACCAGTGTGTGAATGACTGTGTTGTAAAGCACCCTGGGGGGTTCTACAGCTCTAGCAGGTGCTTTATCAAATACAGGACATATACCATACATAGGATTCTAATTAAAGATAATTAAATTACAGAATGTTTAATACTTTAAGTTATATTTTTAAAGTAAAGAGAATCCATGCTTGTAAGTTTTGTAAGATTAAATATATAACTGAAATCACTAGTGTACTACCAAAGCAGGTCAAAATTTCAAGCTTTAAAATAATAATCCAAACGAACCAATCAGAGTGAGACATGTGCCAGGAGACTTAATTTCTTCCTGAACCAGATCAGACTCAGCCTCTCCAGCTTAAGTTAGAATAAATGAATGAAACACAGCATTTCCCCTCTTTTATAAATTTTTTTAGGCAAATAATACTACTGGGGAGAAACAGCAGTAGGGTTTCTTGTTTGTAAATTTACTCCTAAATGATTGCTGTGCAGAGCGACGTTTGAGGAGGCAGCCTCTCATTACGAGGAGGAAATACCAGCTGCTAATTATACTAAACAAGTCCTCACAGCCACAGAACCTTGTAAATCAGCAACACTCTCTGGAGGGGCATTAGCAAAACTTCTCCTTTACCACTGGATTGATTTTAACCCTTTCATGATGGCTGCCTGCCACAGCTAATTTTGCAACGTGGCTTTAACTTAGTCTTATCTACCGATATGGAGCTAAACATTCATGTTGTAACACTGCAGACTCATCGTCAACTCTGAATGCCAACAATCACGCAAAACATTGTTCATGATAATGACAAGATGTGAACACAACTGCTGGCAGCAGCTGGTGTGCATTCCTTCATGAAATCATACATATCATTGCATCTGGTCTTTATTTAACCATGATGTTCAAATGTTTCTGCTCTTTTGGACCACCTTTTTGTTAATAAAATAAGAAAAAAATTAAGCTGCAAGCAGCGTCGTTCGGCCCTCGCAGCTCCGCGCCGCTCCGGCCTGGCCGGCAGTCTGGTGCACCTGGGCACGTCCGTTGAACATAAACATCGACCACCCCACGCCAGAAACCGCGAACGGTCTCCTCGTCCGCGCCTCACCCTGACTCAGCATCTTCTTTGAGCCCACCATTAAATTACACATCTAACCCCTAGGGGATACTCTATCTTTACCACACTGGAGGTGTGATGACACAGACCAAGTTTACCGCCATTCTGACCACGTTTTTTGAAGTCATTGAAGGTTAAAGTTATCTAGGGGGCGCTGTGATCAACTACAGAAAAATCCCATTGAGGTCAGCTTTGGTGGACAAAGATGGTTTTCTGTTATTTTGGCATCAATTTGATGTTGTGTGTGTTATCTAGAGCCAGAGAGCCAAAAGGGGGTGGAGCTACAGGGATTTGAACCAACAACCACATCAATGTGTTTGGTGCAGTCACATGATGACACAAGCCAAGTTTAATGCCATTGTGACCTTGTATTAGGAAGTAATTAACTCTTAATCTTATCTGGGGGGCGCTGCGACCAATTACATAAAAATCCCATTGAGGTCCTCTTAGAGAGTCAAAGATGGTTTTGTGGTAGTTTGGCATCAATCAGACGTTGTGTAAGCTTTCTAGAGCCAAAGAGCTGAAAGGGGGCGGAGCTAAAGGGATTTGAACCAACAATGCGTTTGGTGCAGTCACGTGATGACACAAGCCAAGTATAATGCCATTTCTGAACTTGTGTTTAGAAGTTGATAAAGTTTGAAACCATCAAGGGGGTGCTGTGACCATTTACAACTAAATCCCATAGAGGTCACCTTTGGTCATCAAAAATGATTTTCTGTTAATTTGGCATCAATCAAATGTTGCGTGGGTCATCTAGAGCCAAAAGTCTGTAAGTGGACGGAGTTAAAGTGATTTGAAAGAGTGAGCACATACATGTGTTGATTGCAGTTGTGTGATGACTCCCACCATGTTTGATATAGTTTGGAGCTTTTTTGCAGAAGTTACAAATGTTTTATTGCATCTAGGGGGCGCTGTCCCAAATTTAGGAAATATTCCATGAAGAAGTTTGTAGGTTGACAACAATCATTTGTGTGCAGTTTGGTGTGAATTGCATCATGCATGTGTTATTCAGGGCCTAATATCTGTCAGGGGGTGGAGCTAAAGCAATATCAACCAATGACCACAGGATTGTGTTGGGTGCCTTTGTGTGATGACATGTAGCAAGTTTGGTGCAGTTGCGACCTCGTCTGTAGGAGTTATTACAGTTTTAAAGGGATGTAGGGGGCACTGTGGTGATAATATACAACGTTCACCAACCGTTTGTGCCTCGTTGGCTAAAGGGCATGATTGTTGATTACCATGTTCAGTCTCATGCAGATCGGAGACTGTTTGCGGAAGTTACAGTCAAACGTAAGGTCACGGCGTCACGCCAGAATTCGCCATGGCATCAAAGCCCCTCCCTTTCTAGAAAGCCATCAGAACTGAATGGCCATTACAGCATCATGAAGTCAGTGAATGACCTTAGTGTCATGTTGACTAAATTAGAGGGGACAAATATGGGCATTTCACCATAAAACAATCGACTTCCTGTTGTCAGGGGGTGGGGCTTAGGTGATGTCAGCTGTCCACATTGTCACTGTCTTGAGATGTGGTCAGTGATCACACAAAGTTTGGTATGGATCTGATCTGACATAGGAGTTATTACATCAAGTAATGTAATGGCAAAAGGTCAAAGTTTGAGGCTTAGCCATGCCCACACCTTTCAACTTTTGAAAAATCCAACAGTTGAATTTTTTCTCCTATGTCTTAAGAGTCTATAGCAGAAGTTTGAAGGCGATTGGTGAAAAGGGCGATGGGTCATCACTTTCCAAATGACGTGTGCGAAAACCACTAAATCAAATGGCCGACTTCCTGTGCAAGATAGGATTTTTTAGGCGAGTAGTCGAACTTCGAGGCCTGGCCACGCCCGCTCAGCATATACAAAAAGTTAGTTTTTTTTTCTATTTGATCGCCCATCCCTTCTGAGCAATTTCCCACAACTTTCGAGACGATCGTGCGAAAAATGATCGAGTAAATCAATCAGAAGCGGACCCTAGAAACGGCCAAAATGGGGTCAAAATCACCACTTCAAACCAAAATGGCGTTGAGGTTGACCAAGGTTGCAAGAGGCTTTTCTGTGCGGACTGTTGAGTACTACAAGTGTATTTTTCACATTCTAGGGGGCGCTGTGGAGCTATATTTCTTGCGATTTTTTGGGGACCTTTAAAATACCAAATGTTACACCATGTCTGACATGCGTGCAAAAATTCCTGAGTTTTCAGGTATGTTAAGGCGTCCAAAAAGCCAATTTACTTGGCGGAAGAAAAATAAACAGAGCAGATACAATAGGCCTTCGCAGCACTTTCGCTGCTCGGGCCTAATTAATTTCTTAAGAAAAAAAATTCTCTATATACATTTAATTAAGAAGCAGTCAGTTAACATATTTTAGTAATAATTCTACATTTTCCAGTCATTACTGCTTGAATACACATTCATATTGCTCTTTTTATTGACAAATGTGAGTGTTTTGTTACCTTCTCTGAAAAACAGTCAAAAAAGGAATTAGTTCACCTTTCATAGCTATCTGCTCCTGTTGTTCCTCATTAACTTGTCTGGAGCTGAAACATTTGTAACTGTAACTTTGGCTGCCTCTTGGCCAGGACTCCATTGAAAATGAGGTTTTTATTCTCAATGGGACCTTTCTGGTTAAATAAATAAAATAATAAAATTAACTTGAATTTTGTAAAGACATGTTTTATCTGTTGTGTTGAAGTTATTTGTATCCTGCTTCTTTGTGATTTGCATCAAATGATAATAACAGGAAGTTCTGACCCAAAGGAAGAGAAGAAAGATGGTCAGTTCTGCTATGACAAGTGTCATGATGTTCTTGCTCACTGTGCTCTAAACTGAGATGGTTTGGGTTTACAACTGTTTAAAGAAAAATATAGCAGTCAGTATTTAGTAGCTTTCTATTGGTGTTCTTTCAATTCAAATTGATTATTCATTTCATGATATCAGGTGAAATATGAACAAGATTGGGATTTATTTTCGATCACTTTTGCTTATCGTATATGTCACATATGTATTTATCTGGGATGATCAAAACAACTTATGTTATACAACAGAAATGGCAGAATTTTTGTTACCAGACAGAAGACAGACCCAAGACACTCACCACTCCAGACAGCCTCCCATCGCTGTTCATTGCCAGAAATCGGTTAGCATAAACTCCTTTGATGATCACCTCCCCAACTGAGGTTGCCTGGAGCTGAAGTTTTACTGATGATGAAAATAAAAATGTATTTAAATTCAGCAAGCAGAAACTATCCAACATTTTGCTTCCACATGTAGAAAACATTTGAAACCCCCATTTTCTTGCAAATAAGAAAACCATCTGTGGCCTCTTTAGACAGAAAAGGACATTTCTTAAAAACATTTAGATCATTTGATCAAGTCGCCTGGCATCACTAAGGATTAACGTTTTTAACACAGAATTTCATATTTTGTATCATAATAGAATAGTGTGTAATTTTATTCAGCATTTGTAGGACATGATAACACAGAATTACATTTTAAGTTCAATTTGGTTCAGCAGAAATGGTATTTAGGTATCTAATTGAAGAATATAAATAGGTACGTGCCTTTACGTGATAAAATGAATGGAATGATAAAGTGTAGAGGCCAAAATGGTTGAAGTTTGATTCTGCCCTAATTTATTTCATTTCATTTTTTCATTTATTTCATTCAATCAACCAAATAAAAGTTACATTAAAACAATTAATGTTCACAAATAATCATAAATGAAAAGGAGCAGAAAGAAGCAAAAACTTATATCTGCCCCCTTTTCACATCAAGACATTAGCTGTTCAACGCAAAGCCTGTCGTTCACCTACCCCCCACCCCAACACAAAACAAATCTATCAGCCTACTTAAAGTCTTATGTCATCATGATACGTTTGACACTTTTTTAAATACAGAAGATGATTTAGATTGTTTTACTTGACTGTTGAGACTATTCCATAAATTTAAGGCTAAAATGCAGCTCCTGTTCTGATAACAAATAAAATAACAGTAATGACTTTGATGCTGGAAGACTTTATGTGGCAATAGGTTCAGTCATCAAACCATCTTGTGACTGGCAGCCTCCTCAAAGGCATTTCAAAACCATCTCCAACATCTTTGTTTATTTTGATAGAGACGCTGCATCTCGCCAGCAGCTAGCAAAAGGCCATGCCACCAAAAAGGAAGCTGGGCCCCAAAAAGGTAAATTACAGGATCGACTAAATGAAACCAGATTAAGACTTTCAATAGACACACATCTGTCTAGAGTTAGCGCAGAAGCCACAACCATTCATGCCACAGATAAAGGAGGTGTTCTACCCTAAATAGAATTGTCTGAATGAACTGCGGTACGTTTCATATCCACTGTGATATTGGTTTCCCAACTGTGGATTAGAGAGTTTTTATCAATCCTAGAATGAAAATTAAGGCAAAAATTATCAAATCAAACTTTATTTATGAAGCACTTTTCCTACAAGGAATGCAACTCAAAAGTGCTTTACAGATTAAAATGACCCTACATAACCCTCATTCCCATCCCTCCCACACCACAAAGCATTGGCACAGTCATACCGTAACACCCCCCACCCACCCACCCATCCCACCCCAGTTCCCGTACACACACTTAAGAACACCAGTAAAAATGATATTGGGCTGAGTTCATATGATCCAGATAGCCAGGGTCCTGACTGAAGCAAAGAAAGCAGCCCAGAGCCAGGTCAATGTGGCCCTTGTTATTTTTAAATAAATAGTTAACTTTAAATAAATTAATTAAATAAATATATGAAAGAACTTTGAGGTTAAGTAAAATAAGGTCCAGGTGAACTGTCGTACCTGAAGCAAGAGTTCAAATGATCTGATTCACTGGCAGTAGGTTTAATATTCTGACAGATTACTGCTGTGTTCCAGTTGGAAATGCCAACTCTGCAACAAACTTGTTCTCAGTGGGGAAATTATGTGTTTTAACAAAGCATTTAGTGAAAAAGCATCAAGTAGAAAACACAACAAGCTTTCTTCTGAGTGTGTATATTTGCAGATCATATGCTGTTTTGCATGCAGAAAGTATGCTGGGCCCAATAGTTCAATGTTAGAGATTGAAGTGCCAGGTATCGGGCCCGGTGACACATTAGGTTTAAGTCCGGATGGCCCTCTGGTAAATAATGGTTTCCGACTCCTGCTTTAAACTGTTCCAGAGAAGCATTTGCTTGGCCACACATGGCTGGCATGTTGCCGTTTCTCCTCAGTAACACTGGCGGGTATGTTTTCCCGACTCCCTCCTACTCACTGATGAAACTTCAGGACACACACTTTAAAGTAATCAGTGACACAGAGGCCTTTAGGGGGCTCTCCATTCCAAACAAGTATGCTTGTGTTTTCACTTTAAAGCAGATTGGATCTCATCACACTGTTTTGTAACAACTCTGTAGCATCATTGTTCATAATTCAGGTTAGTACTTTTTGGGCTAATTTAGGATGCTAACGGTTTAATGCAGATAATATTGGTGCTGTTGTGTGTGACATAAACCAGTCAGCCTGTGGAGTGAATGGCTGTGACTCAGCAGGCTCAACACATTCAATAACAGCTCCATGCACATTTCATCATATTTCCCACTGATTAAAACAATCGGAGGTCTGTAGAACTCAGGTTTTATACTTCAGAGGTTTTCCTACACTAATGTCACTGTTAAATGGAGAATAAACCTCAGTAAGCTGGAAAGTTCCCATCCTCATTACTTTTTAATAAATTACTATTACTTCCTGTTGCATAATGAAAAAAAGCATAAAGAGGCTTTGTGTAGTGTCCCAAAGTAAGAAGAAGACTGGAAGTACTTACTGTGGGGGTCGTTTTTCTCTCGGATTCCATCCACTCCCCCATCAGACCTTATCCTCAGGAAAAAGCCTCCATTTTTACAGTACAGCCTTTTGGGGTCCTTGAAGCTTCCGGGAGTGAAGCCGTCACTGCCCCCGTCTTCAGGTACAGATGGGAGTGTTCTGATTTCTCCTGTGGCCATCTCCAGCTCTTCTCCCTTCTTCCCGCAAACTGCGTCGTCTCTTTCTTAAGAAGTATCAAGACCCTCGCCGTGGCCTCCCACCTCCCGCAAACTTCCTCCCCTCCTCCACAACAAACTAATTCCACTTAACCTCGGGGGTCAGTTTACCTCAGCAGCCCCTCTAAGGGCAGCAAGTGCCCTTTGAGTAACTCCTGCAGGCTCCTAAGAGCAAACGCCGGTTCCTCCCATTTGCCGCTGCTCGTCTGTGGTTTGAAGAGCCAGTTGAACACACACATGTAGAGAGTGTGTGTGTGTGTGTGTGTGTGTGTGTGTGTGTGTGTGTGTGTGTGTGTGTGTAGGTTTGACCATCTCCTTCTCTTGCAATGTTTGAAGCAGGGCAGCCGACTTAGATCTCTGGTGGGGAAGGGTTTCCCCTTCGGGCCTCCGCTCGCATGCGCCCTAGGAGCACAAGCACACACTCTCACACACGCCCACCACTGCTTGCCAATTTAATCAACCAACCCAGGAGAGGCTGGGAAAAGAGAGAAGGGCAAAGAAAGGGGAACGCTCGACTCTGGGCAGGATCAGTGTTTTCATTCATCCAGTAAATGGAGAGAAAAGAGAGAAAGACTCCAGCATGGCCAGCTTGTCAGCGGTTGACTAATTATTATTCATGGAAACTCACACAGATATAAAATATAAATGTTACTGTTTAGGAGAAGCTACTGTAACAAATTTATATTAATTATTTCCTAAAACAAGATAATTGGCAAAGACATAAAACCTAGTTCAGGAGCAACGTCTGATGGACAGCAAGGGATATTAGTATAGGTTATCTGTTGCATTATATTCCACACTAGTGTGCATACATTTAATTTTAGTAACAAATAATTGTATTCCTTGGAGACATGTCTCTAAGACAAGAGTGGAGGTATGAGAAAACAAGTTAACTTTAACTTGGTTTGGTCGTGCGTGTGGCTGTTATCTACTGCAGCTCAATGAATTTGAAAAGCTCTAAAATAAAAATAAAATGAAATTTGGCTTCATCCACTGATTGATTTAAGTATCGGCAGGTTAACAGAGTTGACGCCTTAGCTCCTCTGATATGTATTATCTTCTACCTTTCAAATTTCTGCTCTTTTCCACCCGCTGTCATCATCATCATCATTGCTGAGTCGTGCCTGAGTCAAGCTCTTCATGTATCCACTGTAAAAAAAAAACCTCAGAAGCTTTCTGTCACAATAACACAACTAAAGAAGAAATAGCATCAATATCTCTGACACACACAAAGCAATACACACAAGAAAACCTTTGAGCATTGTTAGCATATGCTTCAAAGCACTCGTTGGTGACTTATAGGTGACTGCTTTTAAAACTCAAAAAGGATGTGAAGTTTTATAAAAGCTGTTTCATTTGCTGACCAAACCTATAAGTTGTGTTATTTTATGAAAAGCTCATAAATATCTAAATGACCATGTAACAAAAACCTATCTGGAACTTTAGAGCTTTCTCAGAACAGATGTTTATTTGAAAAGAAAACAAGAGTTACCCTAAACAGAGGCATATCTGCATCATCGATTGTCCATCGATATAAAAACTTTAACAAAGTCAGTTTCCACTTTGAGTACTGGAAGAACAATAATCAAATGTCTTTAAATGTCTGTTAGAAAATGCCTTGTTGACAAAGAAGTATGCATTAAAATCTGAACATAACATATTGCAGTTTGACTTTGGCCATCTCAAGTGAGTTGTGACTAATTTACAGGAAAATTACATTTGAAAGACTGATTTTTATTAATTGAAAATAACATTTTAAAGGTTAAACATGGGACCTCAAAACAACACAAAACATTTATAAAATTTTTAGTCCTTAGTGTGTACAGTGTCTCCCTCTACTGATAGAAAAAGGGGTAACATTTTATTAAAATGTACTCATGACAAGTACAGCAATAACACAAAACCTCTTTGGTTTATGAGCTTAATAGAAAAAAGAAAGAAAATGAAAACAAAGATAAATGAAAAGCTTTTTTTTTGGTCCCAGGCCAATCATAACAGCATCAGATCTGCTCCATCGTTTGATCCACCGCCAGTGATGATCTCTGCATCAGTCTGTAAAACCAGAAAAACCAGATCCAAAGCTCTTCTCCACGCATCCTGCTTCACACTCACATTGTCATAAATTTGAATTGATGGTACTTCTTCTGAACTCATCACAGAAAGTGTTGCAGAAGCTTCGTTTTCACCTTCCAGGATGAGCTGAGGGAACTTTCCTGAAATGTTTTGATCTTTGTGAAACTTCTGCAGCTGATGGCTAACAACAGCCTTGGCTGTGACAGCTGATATTGTTCCAGAGTTAGCCATTACAGTGATAATGTAATCTAGTAAACCACCCGCCATCAGTCCCAGCACAACACTTTTGTAGGGATTGACCACAGCTCCTGCATTGTGTCGAAAAGCTTCAGTGTGCCTTCTGCTGTGATACTCTGCCTGTCTCTGTAGATGATGAAAACAGAGGATTTCTGTGCCTCCAGCACCAGGCAGGATGGCTTGGTCTTTCATTGAGTGATGTAAACGATGAGCGCAGGCCCAAAACTGGTCCTCCAGACCTTGTAGCTTGCCAGGTAAGCAACTGGAGATGACCACAGTGACCAGTCCAGTGTTCATGCCAGTGGAAATATTCACCACCGTTGAAGCCGTTCTCTCAAAGCTGCTGAGGTCCCTCCATATTGCAACCTGTACCCCAGTGCCAACACAGTGTTTACTTAACTGTGTGGCATAAGTTACTGGAACAGCTCCAACTGATTTGGCGATCATTCTTATAACAGAGAGTTTCACTTTCTCTACAATGAGTATTTTATGCTGTAAACAGCTCTGAATCAACTTCTCATGTGCAAAACCGGCAGTCAGTATCAGGTGGACTTCCAGAGTCAAGAGGAGTTTCACTACCTTTTCCAGCCACTCATCTTCACCGCTTGAATGTGACAAGTCCGACAGCTGACTCACACGTTGTAAACCGGTCAGACTTTTAAAACCAAGATGGCGATAAGTGTGTGACAGATCTCCATTAATAAAAGCAACCTTCAGGGGCTTTTCTTTTATCTGATGAGCGATGGAGGCCTGTTCACTGGATAAAAGGACGACACATCCTGGAACAACACAAGCACAGTCTTCTGGTAAACAAGGAAGTACACAAGTCATTACTTTTGTTGTGTCAAACGTGGGATAGTTCATCTCTTGCTGATCCGTTTTCCATTGCATTTGAACGACTTCTACTGCCAGTTTCATGGAGTTATCACAACCATGGCTCAACGCTGTGGAAATGTGGGAAATGTCCGGAAACTTGGGTTGATCCGGGAGCACGACTGGAGAAACAACCTCAGTCCCATAAAAATGTCTGCTCAGCTTTACTTTTCTTTGTACACTGATGTTTAAAGTCTGGTGACCAACTGTTGCTGTCCCTCTCATGTGGCCAGACACCTGAGAGGTCTCAGGTGTGGGTTTCTTTACCAGCTGAGATCCTGAACCACGAGATGTGGCTGTGCATCTTCCAGTGTCAGCTAGAGCTTCAAAGGGAACAGAGGATTTCTTGCAAACATCAATGCATATATCCATCCCCTCAGACATAGCAGAGATGATGTGAGTCACAGATATGCCTCTTTCGAGACAATCCAGCGCAGCACGACTCCACGCTCCTGCCAGAAACAGCAAGCACCCTGATCCTGTGCGGTAGACCTCATGGTGGGCTTGAATAGTGTCCAATACTATCTGACCCACTGCGCATGTCGGCTCCAGGCTCTCAATGACACGAAAACATGAACACACAAGAGCTGACCCCCCGTTAGTGTCATCTTGAATAAACTTGTATTTTTTATAAGGGCCAACAAAGGAATGTCCCATTTCTGCCAACGCCGACACTTTCTGCAGTCCAACATGGTGTCGACGGTTTATGATTCCACTTTCCAGCATTACCTGAGGTTTGAATGAGAAATTAATTAGAACTTTACTTTAGTATATATTTTTTACTAAGTCCCACATATGGTGTTCATGGAGACATTTTAGAGCATGGATCTCGAACTCTAGGTCACTATCCAGCCCTGTCCCAATACTCACACATCCACCCTTGTACCCCTCAACTGCACATTCTCCAGTGGTGCCAGTGTGTGTCCCTATTCTCAAGCATGGACCTTGGCTCCACTCCTTTTGCACCCTTGCCACATTTGTGCGAACTTCACCGAAGAGTATTACCCAAAATCTATTGCTCCATGGGAATGTTGAGAAGAAGACAGAGAAATGGCCCAAGTGGCCTTTCTGAAAAAATGTATTTTTAAGAGTAATTATTGTAATACTGAATATTTTTATTGCCTACATATTTGATAAATGTTTCTCTGTTGGAAAGATGCATTACATGTCTGTTGAAAAATATTGTTAATTGATAATGGTGCTGGTGTTGTAGCAATGTTGTTATCCCTGTTAGAATTTGTTTCCCCTGCATCGGGAGTGCGTGCCGGTGTTATGCCCCCCCCCCCCCGAATAAATTTTTCGCCAGTTCCACTCCAAAAAATAAATGCTTGTCCAAACCCTTACCTTTACCCTGGGGTGACGGTGGCACAGGAGTCAAGTGCTCACCCTGTAATTGGAAGGTTGCAGGTTCGAGCCCCCCTCAATTTGTCGCTGTTATTGTGTCGTTGGGCAAGACACTTAACCTCACTTGCCTGCTGCTGGTGTTCGGAAGGACCAGTGGCGCCAGTGCTCGGAAGCTTCGCCTCTGTCAGTGCGCCCCAAGGCAGCTGTATCTACATTGTAGCCAGGGTCCGAAATTAACACTCGCCACTCGCCAAATGCGAGTAAATTGCTCCATTTGGCGAGTAAATTTTTGAGCTCTACCTGCCACCTGGCGAGTAAATGTTTGCACCAAATTAGTTATGTTTATCAGTCATCTTCCATGGATTTCTGATACTCCTCCCGCCTGCATGCAACTTACACAAACGTACGCGAAACGTGAATGCCGCATCCAACGTCATTTCCACCTATCCCATTCAATCAGTTTATCAAGTTAGCAGTTAGCTTCGTGTTAAAACTAGCGGTGAAATGTGGCGGTTTTTAACTGGAGTCAGCCAGCCTTCCAAAAGAAAACTCGTCGAACTGGAAGAAAAACCACCAGGACCAGTGGCAACCAGAAGATTTTGTGAAAAGTGGCGAACTGGAGACGGCGGAGTCGTGAGACAATGGCTACATTATGATGGCCACGTAGCGTTGCTGCCTTTCACAGACAACTGGCCCTCGGCATTCTTCAAATATCCAAAAAATGCCCATACTTCCGACTTTGTCTTCTTTGAGGGATAATAAATGTCCCAAGTGCTGCCGTCTCCTCCTGCCATTATTTCAGCTTTAGCTCAAAGAAAGTTTTGGTCATAAACAACAAAGTGCGCATGTGCCGCCGGCAACTTCCAGCAGATGATACGGTGGCTGGAAAGGGTCACCGCGCCTACACCGCAGCCACGGAAATCCACCGAGATAATATATATATATATTTTTTTAAACAAGACTGTTATTATTTATTGTCAACTTTTTTACCGGGGTTTACTGCTACACCAGTTACCGTGACAACCCTAGCCCTGACACACTTTCAGATATTCTCATGGTGCAGCTGTGTTCTCCAGAGATCAAGGACTAGGACCCAAATGAGGCTGTAATGCTTTGGCACAGAGACTGTGTCAGAAGCAGGAGGCCAGACTTCATGGACAGAGAAAACAAGGAGTCTGACTAGATTTCAATGAAAGAGTTCATAAAAACATCTCTAAAAATAAATAAATAAATAGTAAAAATGACAAAAGATTTGTTTTCCTTATTAATTGATGTTTTAATTATTTTGTCACTCTGTTTGGAATCAACATAATATAGAATAACATGCTTTAGGTAGATCTAAATCATTTAGAATTTTGGCCGGTAAAAAATATGCTTGGCCAGTAGATTTTCATCATCTACCGGCCAACTTGGCCGGCGGCGGTGAGTAAAAAATTTAATTTCGGACCCTGATTGTAGCTCATCCCCATCAGCATGCGTGTGAATGGGTGAATGACCGATTGTGTTGAAAAGCGCCTTTGGGGGTTCTAGGACTCTAGAAGGCGCTATATCAAATACAGGCCATTTACCCTAACCATAACCCTATAAGACACATAAAAATTGTCCCACACAGAGTTATTTTATAAATCATAATTTTGCTAAACATACATATTTGGTGACTGAGTGGTTATGGTTACCGTAAGTGTTAGGGTGAGTGTTCATTTTTGTGGGAGGGGAACTCAAATCGACATAACACTGGCGCCTGAAGCAGGGGAAACAAATTCTACCGGGGACAACTACATTGCTACAAGACCGGCATTTATTTTTGAACATGACATGTCAGCAATTTAATCACTGTTTTAATATCATTCCATTTTAATATCATGTAATATCAATAATCAAGAAGCAATAACAGTGACCAGCATTCCCATTTAGGAAGTTGCAGAGACATGACACTGACGCAGGTCAATGAAGCAATGTTCACTCTTTCAATTCTGCAATATGCACACTTACAACATACTCTAAGTCTTACATGCACTTGCTGGAGGACTGTAGGCTGCAGTGAGAGTATTTGGACTGGGTCTTAGTTGGTTCCCGGCTTCAACACACCTGAATTGAATCACCAGGTGATTAACAGGCAATTCAACCATTGAACCAAGAGTGTTGGAACAGACAAACAACTAAAACTGGACAGTGGCCCTCGAGGACTGGAGTTCAAGATCCCTGTCTTAGAGGGATCCAAACCTCATTTTACTTAGGTGTGCTGTATGTTTCTGTAGAGGAGAACATCTTAGATTGAAATTCAAAACAAAATATCAGCACAAAGTAATAGAGAAAATGTTTGATGATTACAGTTGGGTGAAAGCACTACAGAGTAGAAAGGAATGATCAGAAACAAAAGAAAATAGCTGCTCATCTTAAATATTGTAAAGCTGCTAACACATTGAGGATTATCTTAATAAAGCTAGTTAAGTAGGGACAATCCTGAAATTTACTTAATTACTGTTATTTTATTTGTTAGTATGATTGATTTTTATTGTGTTCAGCACCTTGGGCTTCGGCTAAGGGTTGTGGAAGGTGCTCTATAAATGAATAAATGAAATGAAAATTGCAGCACATGCAAGTTGCAACTTGAAGAGTTAAAATCTTTTCAAATGGAATCTTGGTCAGCATCTGCTTGACATTTATCTATGCCTTTCAATTATATCAAACAAAGAAAGCAGATACACGCAGAAAAAGAGAAGTACACTTAACTTGACCCAATCTCAGTGTTAGCTTTAAGCTAACGTGTTAATAATATATACATTATATTACTACATTCGGAAAATGTATGATAATGAATGGGTCCAACAACATTATCATTAAAAAGTCGTCACCAAAATAGCTTTTTTGTATAGATTAAAAAGAAGGAAATTACCTTTAAGACTTTGAAACGTCTAGTCAGCTACCTCAGGGATTTGTTTCCAATGCGCATGCGTTGTGCGTTCAGTTGCTAGGTGACAAGAAACGGATTGCGCGATTGGTCGACACGTTTAGAGCCTGCCTATTCTACGTTGTGATTGGCTAATATGTTTCCATTAAACTTTTTCCTAGTTTCTATTGGTTATTTGGACCAAAAAAAAAACTACCGTTGTAACTTGTTACCTGTTTTGTTGACATCCGTTTTTCAAACGCTAAAGCTTTCCCGATCGACTCATCTGTTCGAATGGTATACTTTTAGAGACCTTCATTCATACAAGTATCTTTTGCTGCCAAATTATTTAGAGGTTGCTCGGTCAGTTTTAAAGTTAGTGTATTGTTCTCATGGTGCTGTATGGAAGCTCTTTGCTAGTTAGCAGAACCCGTGCTCCTCTGTGAGTTCGCTAGGTGACTTAATGTATTTAAAATAACATTTATTTTTCTATTTATCAGGCTTCGAGTTACCGGAAGGGATCCTTCTCTGCGAGCCAAAGGAAAAAGGCAAATAGCAAAGTGGAACTGACCGAGAACCAGCTTCAAGAAATTAAGGAGGCGTTTAATCTGTTCGATACAGATGGAACTGGAACGATAGACGTTAAAGAGATAAAGGTCAGATCCATAGAATAATTATTTGTGCACAGATTATCTGATACCCCAGTCCATCCGCAGCAGAAGTTTTTCTATCTGTTTATTTTTCGCAACAGGTTGCTATGAGAGCTCTTGGTTTTGACCCAAAGAAAGATGAAATCAAGGCGATGGTTGCAGACTTTGTGAAAGATGGCTCTGTAACAGTTAGTTTCAATGACTTTGTCAGCATGATGACTCAGAAAATGGTAAGTCAACAAAAATGAAATAAACTAAATCATGTAACACAAGATAGAATGAACTGTCAAGAACCTACAGCGTTGGTTTGTAAATGTAATATATAACTAAGTTTAATATTCAAAATAAGCTTTTACACAATAGAATAAGTGCAAAAAATATGCTGTTGCAGTAGTTTATTTAGGCTAGAAATGTAGCTGTTCAGAAGACAATTTTGTGTGATCTCTTTACAGGGAATCTTAGGTCCCTGAATAATAAAATGCATTGTCTGTGAATGTTGGTCAGAACAAATTGGGAATGCAAGACTACACTCTTAGAATTATGAGTTTGACTGAGATATGCATGAAAATTTTCCGATCTCAAGCACCTCTCCCACCTGGCTTTCTGCATGTAATGGGCTGTTGATACAGCAGATGGAGCAGAAAGATTAACGGAGGAGGGGTAAAGGGCAATGGTTTTGCTTTGGAAAATGGAGAAGTGCTCAATCAAACACATATTTAAAAAAAACACATTTGTCCCACAACTGAACCACTCAGTAACAACATTTGAACACATTAAATAAAATAGAAAAAGTGCTGAGAAATGTTATAGACAATCAACAAGAAGGAAAGACTGTACAGCTGTTTCACTTAAAAAATACATATATATAAACTCAATGTTCCATTCTGCATCTGTGTTATTAGACTGAAAAGGACTCCACAGAGGAAATAATGAAAGCTTTCCGGCTGTTTGATGACGACGGCACAGGCAAAATCTCATTCAAAAATCTCAAGCGAGTTGCCAAGGAGCTGGGGGAAAACCTTACAGATGTGGAGCTGCAGGTAATGTGGATCTCAAACAAAATTGGACCATTTCTGATTATTTTATAAATGTAATCTAAGCTCCACTTTGATCACTAGAAGAAAGGGAGGAGGATGTTTCTTTAAGAAGGCGAGAGGCTCAGAGCCTTATTGTTTCATAACGGCTTGTGAGTGACCGAGCCAGCTGGAGGTGCGGCCGAGACTCGTCTGGAGTTCAGTCCAGTGCAGCCACATAATCACTTTGTGATTCTATATCTGTGATAAGTGCTATATAAATACAATTTTCTTACTTAACTACTACATATTATGGGACAGACATCACCTGGCACCTCTTAGCCATCAGCTGTGGCTGATTCAAAACCAATATAGAGTTTTAACCTGAAGATAGAGAAATGATTTTAGGCTGAATTTTAAATAAGACACACTCAAAAGCCAAAATAACGATTACACATCTACAGCTCTATTAGACACTGGGACCGAGGTGACACTACGAACTGATTGGCTGGCTGAAATAACTCAAGCCATCCAGCCCCACCAAACCCCGACCGTGCTTAAGCTAATGTGTAAGCGCCTTAATAGTCCGCATCAAAGGTCCTGGTAGTCCATATTCCCGGAATACCCCCAAAGCCTTCTCCAAATCCATAAAACAAATATAGATTGGTTGGGTGAACTCCCACACATCCTCCAAGACCCCCCTAAGGGTATAGAGCTGGTCCAGTGTTCCACGGCCAGGAAGAAAACCACATTACTCCTCTTGAATTCGACAATTCGGTTCGACACTCCGACAGACCCTCCTCTCCAGAACCCCTGACCAGGGAGGCTCAGGAGTGTGATCCCCCTGTAGTTGGAACACATCCTTTTAAATTGGGGGACCACCACTCAGACTCAATGTCCCCCGCCTCCCCCGGAATGTTCTGGACATTTTGTCGGAGGTGGGAATTGAAATTTCTTCTGACAGGAGACTCTGCCAGATGTTCCCAGCAGACCCTCACAATACGTTTGAGCCTGCCAAGTCTGACTGGCATCTTCCCCGTCCATCGAAGCCAACTCACCGCCAGGTAGTGGTCATTTGACAGCTCTGCCCCTCTTCACCCGGGTGTCCAAGATATGCAGCTGCAGGTCAGATGAAACAACAACAAAGTTGATCATCGAGCTGCAGCCTAAGGTAACCTGGTGCCAAGAGCACATATGGACACCTTTATGTCTGAACATGGTGTTCATTATGGACAATCCATGACTGGCATAGAAGTCCAATAACAAAACACCACTCAAATTCAGATCAGAGGGGCTGTTCCTCCCTACCACGCCTCTCCAGGTCTCACACAAGCCCACACAAGCTTTAAAGTCCCTCAGCAGAAAAAAGGAGTCACTGGAAGGTGCGCTCTCCAGTCCCTCCTCCAAGGAGTCCAAAAAAGGTGGGTAGTCTGATCTGTAGTTTGGTGCATAAGCACATACCACAATCAGGACCCGTCCCCTCACACGCAGGTGGAGGGAGGCTACCCTCATGTTCACCGGGGTAAACCCCAACATGCAAGGACCAAGATGGGGTTAGCGAGAGAAAGAGATGTATTTGATTTGGCATAATAGGGTTAATATTCAAAATTGAGATGGTTTAAATTGATGTGATCAGTAACGTTATACAGGTGCTGGCCAGTAAATTAGAATATCATCAAAAGGTTGAAAATATTTCAGTAATTCCATTCAAAACGTGAAACTTGTACATTATATTCATGCAATGCACACAGACCAATGTATTTCCAATGTTCATTACATTTAAATTTGATATTCATAAGTGACAACTAATGAAAACTCCAAATTTGGTATCTCAAAAAATTAGAATATTCTGAAAAGGCTGAATATAGAAGACACCTGCTGCCACTCTAATCAGCTGATTTACTCAAAACACCTGCAAAGGCCTTTAAAAGGTCCCTCAGTCTTGTTTTGAAGGCACCACAATCATGGGGAAGACTTCTGACTTAACAGCTGTCCAAAAGACAATCATTGACACCTTGCACAAGGAGGGCAAGACACAAAAGGTGATTGCTAAAGAAGCTGGCTGTTCGCAGAGCTCTGTGTCCAAGCACATTAACAGACAGGCGAAGGGACGGAAAAAATGTGGTAGAAAAAAGTGTACAAGCTCTAGGGATAACCGCACCCTGCAGAGAATTGTGACGACAAACCCATTCAAAAATGTGGGGGAGATCCACAAAGAGTGGACTGCAGCTGGAGTCAGCGCTTCAAGAACCACCACGAGGAGACTCATGAAAGACATGGGATTCAGGTGTCGCATTCCGTGTGTCAAGCCACTCTTGAACAAGAAACAGCGCAAGAAGCGTCTCGCCTGGGCCAAGGACAAAAAGGACTGGACTGATGCTGAGTGGTCCAAAGTTATGTTTTCTGATGAAAGCAAGTTCTGCATTTCCTTTGGAAATCAAGGACCCAGAGTCTGGAGGAAGAGCGGAGAAGCACAGAATCCACGTTGCATGAGGTCCAGTGTAAAGTTTCCACCGTCAGTGATGGTGTGGGGTGCCATGTCATCTGCCGGTGTTGGCCCACTCTGTTTCCTGAGGTCCAGGGTCAATGCAGCCGTCTACCAGGAAGTTTTAGAGCACTTCATGCTTCCTGCTGCTGACCAACTTTATGGGGATGCAGACTTCACCTTTCAACAGGACTTGGCACCTGCACACAGTGCCAAAACCACCAGCACCTGGTTCAAGGACCATGGTATCCCTGTCCTTGATTGGCCAGCAAACTCGCCTGACCTTAACCCCATAGAAAATCTATGGGGTATTGTGAAGCGGAGGATGCAATACGCTAGACCCAACAATGCAGAGGAGCTGAAGACGACTATCAGAGCAACCTGGGCTCTCATAACACCTGAGCAGTGCCACAGACTGATCGAGTCCATGCCACGCCGCATTACTGCAGTTATTGAGGCAAAAGGAGCCCCGACTAAGTATTGAGTGCTATACATGCACATTCTTTTCATGTTCATTCTTTTCAGTTGGCCAACATTAGAGAAACAAACATTTTTTCATTGGCCTTTAGAATATTCTAATTTTCTGAGATACCAGATTTGATGTTTTCATTGGTTGTCACCTATAAATATCAAAATTAAACGTAATAAACATCGGAAATACATTGGTCTGTGTGCATTGCATGAATATAATGTACAAGTTTCACGTTTTGAATGGAATTACTGAAATATTTTCAACCTTTTGATGATATTCTAATTTACTGGCCAGCACCTGTATCTGGGGCCTCATTCATACAACCTACTAAAAGTCTTCTTAAGCTCAGCAAAAGAAGTCTGCTTGCAAAGTAATTTTTGAGCTATAAAATTGTGTTTATGCACAGCGCCATGCAATTCCTGCGTAAAAAAATCACTCTTGCTATAATTGTGCTAAGGTCACAAAGTGACTTACAGAATTTTCATACCCAGTTTTGTGCATAAACAAGCTTTATAAATGATACTCCTGGACATGAAGCTATTGTAAAATGTGAAACTTTGTTTTCTGAAGCTTTTTTCATAGGGAAAAGCCAAAACTTAATATTTCAAAATATTGTCAATCCACATTAAAAAGTAAATTTTGTTGCGTATAGAAGATGGCTACAGTTAGTCATAGATGGGTTTTCTCCCGTCTGTCGCTTCAGGTTATTTTTTAATAATTAAATCTGTTGTTTAACCTTCTAGGAAATGATTGACGAAGCAGATCAAGACGGGGATGGTGAGGTCAGCGAGCAAGAGTTCCTGCGGATAATGAAGAAGACCAACCTTTACTGAATCACCTGCTGGCTGTTTAATCTCTGCCTTTAAGTATTCATGTTAGATCCTGTTTGTTCTGTAGCTTTTCTGGGACAAAGTCTTCATTTGTAAATAAGTATTTTTATTCTACTGTATCTTTGTGCAGATTATTTTCTATAAAACCAACAAATGTATTTATGTGTTTGTCATGGTTTTATTATTCTCTAACCGAAATGTGAATTGGACTTTTGAAGACTTCTGTGAAATAATTTTCTGGTTAGTGCATAAAAAGCAAAGGTCAAAATGTCCTTAAAAGACAGACAGACGTTGATTTCAGCTAACCCGAAAAATGTTACAGCACACTGAAATGACTTGTGTGAAGCTGAGATGAGTAACTCCGTAAAAGTAACTCTCACTTCATGTTGTGCGACTGAACTTGGTATTGCTCCAATCAGATACATTAGACTAGTTTAACCCACATATTTCATCATCTTACAGGAAAAGTGCTCCTACTGATTATTTTGAAGCACGCAGCGGAAGTTATTTTTCATCCAAAACATCGAACCTTGTTAAACTAAACAGGATATGCAATGACGTTCTTTAGTTTCCGAACCGTCAAGACGCCTGTTTCTTATTTTGAGGATGCTTGCCTCTGGTAGTGAAACTTGTGATAATCTGCTCTAGACATCAGGGGAACCTCAGGTGGAAACATGGAAAAGTTGTTTCTCAAAATTAAAAATCTGGTTTTGGAAAAAATACATTATAAATTTCACATATCCTTTTTGTGATTTCAGTATTTGTAGTTAGTTTTTACAATAATTTTCACATTATTATGAACTAAACTGAGAAAAATTAGCTAAAAAGAAAACTAAGGCCCTGGAATACTTATTAGTAGCATGAATACAATTATACAAAATAATTTTAGTGAGTTTTTTCATGACATTTAAACAAATGTAGAATAAATCCTAATGTAAGCTAAATAATCATCTTATTTATAATTTCCATAAAAAAAGGTTCTCACTAAAAAAATCAGAATGCCACCAGTTTAAAGCCATGATCTCCATTTTACTAGTTCATTTTATTTAACATTCGCAGTAAGGAACATACGTTTTTGACAAAGATCTCCTCTAGATCAGTCAAGTTTCGAGGTTGTTGCTGAGCAACCTTTTTTGTATTTATGTCTGTAGACTGGCTAGGCCAATCCAGAACCTTGACATGCTTCTTCTATAAACCCCGATAAGTTCAGTCTACTTAAAAAAACCAAGGTAACCCGTTGCCTTAAATTTTTTTAAGTAATGAAGAATTAGTTGAATTGATGCAGCTGAGTATGTTCAATATACTTAAGGCCTTAATGGGATGAAATTAAAGATTTAAGTTGAATATACAAATAACAAAAGTTACATTAACTTAAGATAATTAGTTTAACCAATGCCCCACCATCCATTTAGTTAACTCAACTCAAGATCAAGAAAGCCTTACTCAATTACTTATTAAACTACATTGTGCATTCTAACTCAACAAACTTAACTTTTATAATACATAAAAATCAAAATATAATATTCAATCCAAAGAGCCAAATAAATACATACAAAATATTTTATTAAAAATTTAAATCTCAAATAACACATTTGTCTATGGAATGACAATAGAATAAAGAACTGAAGGGTACAAAAATATCTGAGGTTTGGTTGTTGAGATATTTTACTATTTATGTATTATTTATTGGTTTCCAGGGCCTGTCACTTACGTTTTTGCCCTGTTGTACATCATCCACTTCAAAAATAATCCAAACAGGAAGGGGAAGCTCAAATGCATAAGTGAGTGTGAAACCTTCAACAATCGGTACTGAGCACCAATGGAGGCTCCAGCTCTGTGCAGACACATCTGTGAGTACTTTAGTGATTTTGTTGAACCAGAACAGCTTCCAGACCAACAGCTTGTTTCTGACTGCAGTAATAATATCATTTGTCCTGCTGACTGCACAAACACAAGGCTTTTATACTGCTCAGGATCATGGTGAGTTTACTTACTTGTTTCACCTCTCTTGGTGTGTCCTAAGGCAGCTGTGGCTACAACATGGCTTCATCACCATCGGTGATGTGTACTCACATAGTTGTGACACTCCTGGGAATTGCGTTAGTGTTAGGGTTTTTAACAGCCAAACCACAAGTTCAGTAGGAAACCACCTAAAAGCATCACGTGTGTGCTCGCATCTCTACACTGGCTCCCTTTAAGGTGCTAATTCTGATGTATACGGCTCTTAAGGGAACTGCTCCACCTTACTTGGCCAGTCTTTTGAACAGGCATGCTCCATCAAGGGCCCTTCGCTCGGCTGACAGGGAACTGCTATTAGTTCCATGTTCTAGGTACAAGTCAGGGGGGGGTCGTGTGTTCTTGGTGTAACGGAATGCAATGACTGTTTTTTCCCTCCTCTGCACAAGACTAGTCTGCATGAGATACGGTCTCAAGGTCTCATGCATTCCTTCTAACCTGCTTATTTTCAGCCCAACAAAAGAATGAAGAATGAACTATTTTCTTTTAATTAATCAAAGAACTCTATTTTAATAAAGATAATCCATCAAAGTGATAGTCAATAAATAAGATGTGACCGATCTGTGAAATCAAATCACTAATTACTTTATTATAATCCTATAGAATATAAAGGTACTGTGACTTTAAGTGTTCCAAAAGGACTCATTTCACGTAGCGTTAAAAGACATAACACATTACGTTCACTGGTCCAATCAGAATCTGACAGATCTGACGGAGGCGTGGTTTTGATGGTGTTTGGTAATTTTTCATTCGACAATAAACCAAAACATCCGAAGTATAAAACTTTGCCACGAATAAAAGCTGAACCATCAAGACCCAGGCTTGAGTCTCACCAGACGCCAACAAATTGTCGTGACCCGGACGAATCCCAGGACGGGTGGTCAATTGCCGTGGCTTTTTCTACATGCTTCGGCTCCATAAGGTCAAGCTGGACCTTTACACCTCCTGATGTAGACGGGGACTTCCGCTCAGGGTATGTAGACTGGCAAATGGTGTCTCATGTGTTTATGGACCTCCTAACCAAAGCTTAACGCGACGACATCACCTTCATTTCTCATCAGAACTAATCGCTTCTTCGGATTTGCTGGTTCTGATCAACATCACACGTCATCCATTCACCGTCTCATCCACATTAGTTACACCATACATTTAGTGTTAAAGTCAGTCTAGTTTAATTTGTTTGTAACATATTTTTAAATTTTTTAACTTGACTCTCTCTTCTGTTGTCTCTGAGTGAATACAAAGCTGTTATCTAATCCCTGCATTAAAAAGTTCAACTTTTCTGGTTTAAAATAACCTCACAGATCCATAAGGTGGATTTCATATTTCCTATGGAATCCTACGCCTTAATGGCTTTTTAAATAACATGTAATTTAAATCATTACATTTGCAACAAGGGTTGAGGTGGAGAAACAATCCAGGATCATCTTCCAAATTGCAAGAATCAAAAACTCCAGAAAAAAATTGACAATGTTAATTATAACATCTACTATAAATTAAAAAAAAAATGGAAAGAAAGTATTAACTATTAGAGCACGCAAACACAAAAAATTATGACAGTCAGGGACTAACAGAGAAACAATAGACTGGTAGGGCTGCCATCTTGGAAAAAGAAGAAAACTGAATTCATCCTGCTACCACCGTCAGCTTTCACCTCTCCTCGTCCTTGTAGTCCTCCGGCCTGGTTTCCTCCCCGCCACAAAGATTCTACATCCACTTCACTAAACTGTGCTAAATGGCCTTATCCTTCCTGAGAGCAGTGTCTTTGACTAAAATTCTCTTTAATTTTAGTCACACTTTAGTCTTCCAATTTATTTTAGTTTCAGTCTTCTTTTAGTCGACTAAAATAAATGTATGTTTCTTCTGATGCAATCAGTTTCAACTTGTGTGAAGGAAAAGTTAACTACAGCTACTTGAAACTCTAAAGAAATATGTAAAACTCACATTTCACACTTTGGATCGATAAAACTCTGTATTTAGAATTGTTTTAATAACAATAACTATTGGAAAATACCAAAATGAAGTCTGACAGTTTGAAATCGTGCCTCTCAGTATTTTTAAAATAACAAATCTGTATAATGGGCAGGAATATTTGCAAGCATGACAGGAAATGGCTTCATACCATCAAATAATTCATATGCATTACTCTAATGATGTGAGGAGGTGCCACTGAGTCCGGTTGGGGTCTTGGACCGAGGAGGGGGTTCACCAGCAGCAGGGAGGGCAGCAGCGGAGGGAGATCCGAGGCCGGAGAAGCCAGGGCACAGAGCGCAACACGGCAGGCAGGCCTGCCTCCGCTTGTAAGTATCGAGCAGTGCCTGGCAGTGTTTGGAGATGCTGTGGCTCGGTGTGTGGTCTGGTGCCGTGGACCTGTTATTGCCAGAATTTTGTGTGCCCATGGTGGCCGGGTGGAGGAGGAGTAGACCCGCCGTGAAGTTATCCTGTGGCTCAGTGAGGACGATGACGCCGGCCTTGGAGGTTCCCTGGTCGAGAGCTCAGCAGGGCCGGACTGGACCGCCTTGTCCCTTGAGGCCCTGCGCACACTTGATTGAACGCTCTATTTTTTTTTCCTTGGCGTCATTATCAGGGTTTTGTAATAAATTTCCCTTTTAAATTTGCTTTGGCTGTCGCACTGCTTGCCTTGTTTTAGAACCTTTTTAGAACCTATTTAATCTCCTTTTAATATTAGTGGCAACAAGCACCTCAAGTGTCTCACACACACACACACACACACACACACACACACACACACACACACACACACACACACACACACACACACACACACACACACACACACAGTTTGATGGAGGGATTTCGATGCAATTATTGAGAACAGGACGTGCACTTTGATTGGATGAGATTTTTCCAGGATTGTACGTTTCTGTTACGTTAGATATCTTTCAGCGTGATACCTGCCACCAAAGTGGTTAGCTGAACAGTGTAGCCGCTAACAATCACCGGAGGAAAAAACACAGATCGCCATCTTTCTCCTTTTGGTCTGAGTTAGAGAACACACAGATCGTTTGTTGCACATGCTCAACTGAAATAACATTCAGGTGCTCGCACAGTTCAAGTGATGTCATCACTCGAGTCACGTGACATGCCTTTGTTACACAATATACTCAACACTCCAACTCAA